TACTTTGCTGAATTGGTCAACTATGTCCAATAGTTTTCTTGCTGAGTCTTTAGGGTTTTCTAAGTATACTATCATGTCATCTGCATAGAGGGATAATTTTACTTCTTCTTTGCCAATTTGTATACCTCTGATGTCTTTTTCTTGTGTTATTGCTATTGCTAAGAAGGAAAGGAACTCTTAAGCATTGTTGATGGGTTTGTAAAATGGCACAACCACTCTGGAAGACAGTTTGATGCTTCCTCAGAAAACTGAACATAGAAATTCCATATGACCCAGCTATTCCACTGCTTGGAATATACTTGAAGAATTAAGGCACAAACGGAGACTTGTATACCAGTGTTCATAGCAGCATTATTCACCATCACAAAAACATGGAAACAGTCCAGATATCCAACTACAATTAAATAGATTGAGAAATTATGACACATTCACATCATAAAATACTATGCAGTGTGCAGGAGCAATGATTTTGTAAATTATTACCTAACTTGGGAGGAACTGGAGAGCATTACTCTAAGTGAACTCAGTCCCATAAGGGCAAATACTGTATAAGACCATTATTATAGAAAGTGTATGAGTATCCAAGGGGGGGACGGGAGAACAGAGGGCTGAGGATGGGCAGTTGGGAGGGTTAGTCATAGGGTTGCACAACTTGATGGGTGGAGGGAGGAGTGAAGGAAACGAGAAAGATCTTGTGTGAAATATAATGTGTACAAATTTTGTAAATGAATCAGTATAAAAAAAAAGTTGACAATGCTATGTGACCCAATAATTCCACCACTGAGAATGTTCTCTAAAGAAAACAGAGCTGCAGCTCAGATAAATGTGTGCACAGCTATATTTATTGCTGCATTATTCACAATAACAAAGAGATGGAAGCAACCCACGTGCCCATCAATAAACAGAAAACTATAGTACATTCACAAATGGGAATATTATGCAGCATTGAAAAACAATGAACTTGTAAAATTATTGAATAACATGGGTTAGCCCAGAAAACATGCTGAGTGAAATATCTCAAATCACAAAAGGATAAATACTCCATAACACTATTGTTATTAAATAAGACAGACGTTGGGTTTTGGGGTAGAATAGGGAAAGAGTGGATAGATAACACTGCTTTAGAACACATGAGGGGGAAAAGTGACAGGAATATATGACTAGTCATGTGATGACAACATAAAAAAATGCATTGCAAAGTAGACTGGAAGAGGGTGAAATGAGGGAGGAAGGAAAATGGGTAATAATGAATTAATGAAAATGCAGCCTTTCTGTAAACTTTCATTAAAATCACACCAAAAACCCTTTTTTAAATTTTTTTAATTTTTAAATT